AAAAATATAATTGGATTATAGCAGCACAATTTGATAAATGTAATAATGTGATTATTGTGGACAACTTTATGATTTGAGATTGTGATGTAAAACACAAATGGTATCATGAGACTACTTATTTATCAAAGAAATTTTGAATTTTGAAATGTGCATGTCTCAGCTCCAACATACAAAAAAACTCCAAAATCTAAATTCATACAGTACTGTTTTATATATAACTTAATAGCGGAACTTTATGGTGTCTATGATTTCTTTATTTCCCTGGGAGGACTTGGCCTAACACTCCTGTTTTGTTTTCTTTGGCTCACAGGCTGGTTCAGTTGCCTCTTCACTGTCTTTCTAACTAAAATATTATATAACATTGTTTTTTTTGTTTTTTCCAGTTCATCGTCAGCTTGCTTGTTGGCATCCGTGTCTGCCTGGTCCATACACTGGACGTTCATTTCACCACTGCACACGCTTCACTGCCTAAACAGAGACTGATAGGTTATCTCTTTTATTATGGTCGTGGAAAATGAGCAGATTGCACACAAACAAAGAATAGGTTGTCGAACTCACACGTGCACAATTTTGATTGAATTAGATCTCAGCCATTGTTACGCAACCGTGATTTAGATTAAGTTAATTCCAAAAACACCTGATTAAAGAATTTGGCTGAGCGTTCAATTACATTGTTAAATACTTGGAACTTTGTGATCCTCAGTGAAGACACAATTTCCTTGGTACAAAAAAAGTAGATGTTAAAGTCAGATGATATATCATGTAAACTACTCAGTCTAGTGCACTGACACATATAAAAAACAGAAGACAGAGCCCAGACCTTATAAGTGGCTCATTACCAATAATCCATGTTTTAGCAGCTCAGAAAGAATCTGTAATGCTATGTATTCCCATGAATAATGCTCTAATGAAACAGGCGGTATAAAGGGGAGTGATTAGGACAAATCTGAGCTTGTGCAGTATTTGCTTTCTATTTGCACGCCACTTTAACGGAGTGCTCTGTCTTATTTCACTCCCACAGCTTTAACTTAATCCTGTTACAGTGCTGCACCCACAGGTACAGTGTGTGTGTGTGTGTGTGTGTGTGTGTGTGTGTTAATGTGTGGACCAACTAATAGTGGCTCAGTATGTTTTGAGGAGGATTTTTTGAGTTTCTGCCATATTTTTACCATGTTTCCCCTTTAGGCACAATACATTTAAAACTCTCCGTATCTGTACGCTGCATCTCTCGTGTGGCGGATGAATTCAGAGGGAGTTGCTGTCCTCAGAACAGAAGTGTGTCCGCTGCCAGCTGGTCGGATTACTGCTAAACCACGAACACTCTCTAATTGGCCGTGATTGATTGAGCTGCTTCTTCTTCTTCTTCTTCTTCTTCTTCGAAGGCCTTTAGATAGGCTTGTGGGTTGGACTTCATAGAAAGCCTCTGCTGGGCAGGACGTGAGTCAAATAAAGCTACGGTATGGCACATGCCTCAGCAAGTCTGCCCGTGATGCATCAAAACCTTTTTCTTTTCACCACAGTAGAATTCCTGCAAAATAAGGTCATCATTCTGATTCAGTAAGTAAGTGCATTTGGATTAAAAAGATAAACTTATAAGTAATACCCCTCTTAAGCGACCGCCCCCATTTCTATACAGGATTGCCTCATCTGTCGTCACACCGTCAATCATATCCACTTCCTCTGTCCTGTCTCACTGCGTCAGGTGACTGTGCAGAGGTCTAAGGGAGTGACGGTGATGAGTCTTCAGTCAGCAGAGCAGACCGTGATATGACTGTTCCTCTGCCGTCATTTCAGGTGCTGACAGCTCGCTGAAGTCTCAGAGAGGACTTATTTTGTGTAAAACATAACGTGTGTGTGTGTGTGATTTCTGACTCATACGTCTGTTAGCAGCTAAAGCAACACTGCATGAAAAGCTCTTTCTGTCTGGGTATAACGGCTGCTCTTCACAATGTTGTTATTTGGAGCCACTATGGCACCCAGATACCCAGAGGCCTGTGGGCTGGTTTGAAAAATACCTTTGGGGCGACGGCCGTTGCTGGACGGTGCTGTCACTGAGTAACTTCATTGATTTTTCCTTTCCCCCTCCTCCTGCTCCTTCTCCTCTGAGCACAGATCACTCACTGTAAAGGCCACTGTCATGTGGGGCTTTTGTCAAACGCACAGCTTCCGGACGGCCGTGTGTTTCCGTCTCTGGCTCTTTATTAGTTATTCTGTTTTCTTTGGCAGGCACCCAAGTTCAAGGTGTGGTTTATTGGCTTGAGTTACACCCACTCGTTACTTTCCTGTGGAGTTAGTGGTCATTGGTCCCTTTCATACATGTAAAGGAAAAGTCAGTTACAGCCGCTGGCTTTGTGCCTGCCGGATTGGCCTGTTGGACCTAGTGTATGACTCCTGCAGCCAATCCAGAGTCACTTGACATGCATGATGCACTGATTGGTCCATTTAAAAAAACAACACGTAAACATGAACTACTGTTGGTTAGCTTGTCGGTGCAGGCAAGAGTCAAGGTTCTGACGTCTAAATGTTTTTCATCTCTTATCACCACATCATGACTTTAATTGCTTGTGAAGAATAGTGAAACTGATTTGGACAGTTCTGCCGCTTATCACATGCTCTGAGTTTTTTTTTTTTTTTTTTGGATGGGATTTTATTTTATGTTCGTACTGATATGTGCAGAAAAACACAGCCTGTTATTACATGCCAAGCTGGAGTTACTGTTTGAACTGAGGCCCAGGCCTGAGGCTGTTATCTGTTACAAGTCAATAATATATAAATACATAAATCAGTCAGTCCTAAAACCTGGCAGCATATGGGCTGTGTGATCACATCATGACGTTGGTTCAGTAGTGGGCCGAAGAGTGTGATAACAGCTGTGAACCTGACACTGTGGCTCCTGGTTGTCATATCACCTCATCACCGTCGGGTTGGACTCAGACGCTGATTTCACTTCCATCTCTTTTCCTCGTGAGTCAGCAGGAATGTGAGGAATGACCTGAGCGTGGCCCGAACCTTTCCCACCCATTTCTCATCTGCCCATTTTTAGGCATACCGAGGTCTCGCTTCTCATTTACATTTTTCCCCTCTTTCACTTTGTCTGCCCTCCCCTCCTCCTGTCTCATATCCTTTTCTTTGGGCCTTTTTTTCCCCTGAGCACTCTCTCCTCTTACTCATTCCTTTCAGTCAGCTCAGCACTTTAAATTTCCACAAATTACAGTATATAGGAGAGCCCCTCTGAGCCAGTGCTGCTTGGGCTGCATATTTTGACAAACCACAGCAAGACTTTAAAAACCACAAGCCTTCTTCATGTGTTGTGAGACCCCCCCTCCTTCCTCCCTTCCCTTCCTCGTCCTCTGGGCCCAGCAGGGGGAGCACATCATCCCCCTTTTGAACCCACCAGGGTGTACGGCTCAGCTTAGCAACCACATTCAGCTTCCTTTTAGTTGAAGGCAGAAGGCATTTTGTGTCTTAACTCTGCAGGTTTTAACTGGTGCAGCAGGGAACCTTAACGTGTGTGTGTTTGAGGGTGAGGTTTATAAGGAAAGCCTGCCAGCAGAGCAGCTCATCTCTGCATGTGATGACAGGTTCCCGCTGTTGACCAAAGGAGAGAGACATCTCCCATTTGACAGCAGAGGACTCCCTTTACCCTCATATGTTCACAGCAGCTGCTCACTTGAAAGCATCCATGCCTGTCTGCAGGCATGCTGTAGACACACACTCACACGCCTTAATTACTCCTCTTTTTGTCTGACAAAATATAAACTCTTTAAAGGTACAGTGTGTAGAATTTTGTAATATCTAGTGTTGAAATCACATGTTGCAGCTGAACACCCCTCACCTCACCCTCTCCTTCCAAACATGAAAAAGAACCTGTGGTAGCCTTGAATTGTCATAAAAACTCAAAAGGTGTTTAGTTTGTTCAGTCTGGACTAATGTAAAAAAACAAGGCGGCCTCCGTAGAGAGGACTCCCTCGATGTAAATATAAAGTATTTAAATATAAAGGGCCTTTTCTGGGGTAAAGAAAACTACAATTCATACAATTTAGATGAAACGAACTAGTGAAAACATCATGAGGATTATTCTACATTAAATTTCTGCCAATAGTTCCCTTTCACCTAAATCTTACACACTGGACCTTTAAGTAATGGTCACTCAAGCGATGACATTGTTTAGTGAGTGTTTAAAGTGAGCCACTTCAATGTCTGTGTGTCTGAGGCCTCCTGCGACGAAGTTACTGTTCCACCAGGATGAAATACAGCCAGAGAAGAAGACACCTGGGTGATAAGTCGACCTTAGAGAGCCGAACACGCTTCTCTCTTGTAGCCGAGCACCATCTGTTGATGTGCCTGTTTCTCATCCTCTGCTCCTCGGTCAGGTGGTCCTGTGTTTTCACATAAGCGCAGTCAGATCACTTGTCATCACCTGTCTATAAGCTGTCCTCTGGCCCTGCTGTACCTGTAACTCACATTTAAAAGTAAGCCAGGGAGTTTCACCCCAGATTTGTCTTACATGCTTTACTGCTGTTCGCATTTATCATCTGTAGGCAGTGCCTCGGATTGAGCTAGCATAATTAAAAATGACAAATGGAGTTCACATGAACTTTTCAGGACACCGTCTTTCTATTTGACAGCTGTGTGTGTGTTTGTGAGGCCACATTGGCTGAAAGTCTGCCCCCGCTTGTAAACCAGTGCCTTGCTGTCCTTGTTTGGCAGGGTTAATTACAGAGGGCATCTGAAAGAAGCCGGGGCTGCGTCTTGTATTTTGACCCAAGATCTCTGCAGGACTGCTTATTGACCGCCCTGTACTTACACTGAGAACAAGCCTGTGACCCTTGAGGCGCAGATTCTTGTGGTGCACTCACTCATGGATGCAAATATAAGAATGACAAGTACCTAATATTAGCAAGCCAAATCTTTGCTCTCTGTGAGGCGTCCTGCTGTGCACGCTTGTATTCGTCTCACGTCCTGTTTTGTGTTTGTCTTTTTTTGTGTTTCGCGCACAGCTGGATGGAACCGTGGATCTGGACGAGAGACGCCTCATCCGTTCAGCCATCCGGGAGCTGAGGAGGAGGGAGATCGAGGACATGGAAGCTGCTCTGGCCAGCAAGAGATTTCGACCCACACGCTTCAAACAGCAGGAGGACAAGGAGAACCAGCACAGGTGAGCGCACACACAAACACACAGATACACTGCTTTCCGACATGCACTGGAGTCTGGACACTTTCCTTAAATCTTCCTGCCAATCCCTGAGTAAAATGTCCAAGTGGGTCTGTGTGAGAATACAGGAGGAAATATTCTGGGAAAATTCACAGTGATGATGACGTTTCATAACATGTGAAAAACAAAGAAGAACAAAGATGTTAACTTGGAAAGACGACAAGATTTGAGAGCAATTGACAATAAGGGCCGACGCCAGTGTCAATGTGCTGTAAACAAAAAACATGGTTCCCACAGCAGAATTTGTACTTCATGTCTTACCCTTTGCTTGCTCTACCCTTTGCTTGCTCTACCCAGTTGCCCCCCCCCCACTGGAGTTTTCTGGATATTTTACTGTTGTTGTGAACGCATATGACCAGGACTAAACTTAGACCTGTCCTAATGACAAACTGCACACGGTGAGGAGAACTGTAGATGCTGAGAAAACACTCACAAACCCAGATGTAGCGTTCCTGTTTTTTTCTTTGGGAAATATCACAACGGACAGAAAACTGCAATCACTTTGAATTGTCAATATCCATTTTATGTTTCCATTTTACAGTAATAGTTTCCTTACGTCAGATTATCAGTCAGCATTTATGTCATGAGAATAACATTTATAACATTTCTCTCTTTTACAGTCTCTCCTAACTTCAATATATTTTTTATAAATGCCTATTTAACAGTTCATTTGCAAAGTATCATAAAAACATTTTGTTCTCCTGAGACATAGTTTAGTTAACGATAAAATCACATAAATGTTATGGTATGGGAATTTAAACCTTTTGATGGTCTGAAGTTTCCTCTCTGTGGGTATGAAATCCTGTGCTCCTCACAATAGGACGGCCCAAGTAATTTTACAGGTGTTAATTTGAAACTGGCTCCAGTTCAAGGCTGTGGAACAATCCCAACATCTGGTCTGGAGCACAGTCTAGATTTAACATGAAGAGGAGACCCGGCCTTCTGCAGTCGTCTTTCTCCGTAACTGAATCTTATTAAGACCAGTGGCTGGGTCGGGACGAATTATTACAGAGGCCTATTCAGTTCCATCCATCGCTGCTCTCAGATGACTTTGGTTACGATAACAAAGGCGATGCCTCACCGGAGCAGCAACAGGAGGCCTACCTGCTGCAGCAAATGCATGCACGTGTGCACACGTTAATACACGCACACTCTTACAAACCCATCTGAAAGTTGCATTACCCGGTGCCTCTCCTTTCCCATGGAGGAATGTGAGAGATTCCATTCCAGCATGCCACACATCCGTTTATACCAACGAGTGGAGGGAAGCGAGGATAATGACAGAACTGGAGGAGTGTATTAGTAATAGAAACCAACATTAAAGCAAGCAGTGAAAATGCTGAAATACGAGACTGAAAGAATGGAGGATGAGAGAAGCCCTTTTCAGGCACTGTTTGTCACTGCTGTCAAATCTCTTATGGCTCGGTATCACTTTTTCCACACTCCATCTGGGAGTTTTTCCTCTATCGTTTTTTTTCTGGACAAGAAAACTGTGTTATCTTGCATCTGTCTCCTGCTGCCTTTCACACGTTCACTGACGCCTCAGATCAGAGTCTGATATTTTAAGATACTAACGGTTAATGGTCATTCATAATAAACATTATTTAACCACTTTACTGTCTCTTTCTCTCAGGTCAGAATCTAATGAAAACTTGGACATACTGTCACAAAAACTCCAGTCGATCCAGGACATTGATGAGCTCACGAAAATGGTGAGTGTTGATGAACTCAAATAATGAAATATGGTGACACTGCAGCCTTGTGCTCTGTGCACTGAGATATGTGTGTGTTTTGCTTGTAGCTCCGTGCTGCCGGCGAATACGAGGAGAGGAAGATGATTAGAGCAGCCATCAGACAGATCCGAGATGAACAGCAGCAAGGTGAGTCCAGCTGAGTGATTAAGTGGAGTCAAGCTGTTTTCAGACATGAACTCTGGAAAATTGGGTTCAGACCTTTTCCAGAGTTTTGCTTTTTCACATATTAAGAACGCAGCAGGAGATTCTCCGTGTCAGACACATTTACAACAACAGGAAAATGTCCAGAACATTGAGGTGAGGGGTGGCGTACTTCATGAATCTTTTCACTGAATAGAAAAAAATGTTTTGGCTTGGTTGTGGCGCCACTTTAAGGACAATGCATTTTGACACTTAAAATAATAAACTTGAAGATGGAGCCTCAAAAATAAAGTTAAAGGTCATGATGTCAGACTTAAAAAGGCCATAACTAGATTTCTATTTATGAATGTGTCACCACAAGCAAAAAAATACTCCTAATATGTTGTGATATTCTAGACTCAAGGATTTGATTTATTTTGGCACCAAAGTCTGGATCTTTTTGGCCTAATGAAATTACTGTGAACTGCCACAACTCATTAACGACTGGTTTGAAGTTAATCCAAAATTTAAAAAAAACATATATATATATATATATATATTTTTTTTTTTTAAAAGAAACTCTGGAGATAAATACACATTGTTACTGAGTTTGTGCACATATTTCACACGGGAAAGACAGCAGTCTGTCTGGTGCTGCCATCGTCTCTGTGGTAGATCTACCTATGATACTGGATCAGATAGTGGATTCCTTTCATTCCTCAGCCCTGTCTGGTCTTTGTGAGGCCCCTGTCAGTCTGAAACACTGTGACACAGTGACACACACACACAAATATGTGAGCCACTTCCACCCTGTATAGTCTATTTGTTTGTCACCTATTTCATTCTGAATATTGTGGCGCTGCTGTGTTTTAGGGACTGTGGAGAGGGTTAAAGCTCCCGGTCGCTGCCTGGATCCTGAGAGCGTGGAGCCCCAGGGCATCATGGGAATTGGAGTGAGTAAAGCAGAGTTTGATAAAGTGATCATTGTAGTGATAATTGAATGTCACAGCAAGAAGGAAATGCATCATGTTCATCGCCACCATTACAGCTGATGGGCAAACTATCTCAGATCTAACGTGCACTGCTGTCAGTTTCCATTTGTAAGAATGAACTGAGCACAGAGCAATTTGTGGGTGCTGAGTCTGTTTGCATGGCAACGCAGACCGCCGAGGTTTCTCTGCTGCCACAACCAGGAATGCAGCAAACAACAACAAGCGTTGTGACTTGAGTCACACACTGTGTCACGAATGCGGCTGCAACACGCACTCGCACAGACAGACACACAGAAAAATACATGCAGAGGCCATACCACGAGGCAAGGAATGTGTTTTGTTTTAACCTCCTTATCCAGGTTTGGACGAGTATGTGGAGAAAGATAAAATCGTCTCTGAGTTTAGTGAAGGCAACAAATCCTGACAGGAACAGCTTCTCTGCCATTGTTATCTTGCATCTGTCAGCACAGGCTTTTACTTTAAGCATTGAGAGGGATTGGGTTTAATCAATGGCAAAGAAAATATTTTAACTAGAATGCTGCAGTAGAGTCAAGGCCCAACAGTCCCCTTATGAAACCACATTTAAATTAACTAGAGCTGGAGTTTTAGTTCGATGTTATGTCTGCTATTCGTTCTATATTTTTTCTCCTCACTGCATTTTTTCTGTTGTACTAATATAGGTCCAATAAACTCTTTTGTAATATGTGTATTGAGGATTGTGGCATGGTTTCCATATAGGAAACTCTTGTCAATCTTGTATCCACCCCCTGATCCGGATCCGCACCAAAACATGCTCTCCAGAGAATTTCATGGAAAATCACTTGAGTAGTTTTTGCATAATCTTGTTAACTACCAAACAAATGCAGACAAAAACATAACTTCCTTGTCAGAGGTAATAACAATATGTCAACCACCTCTGCAGTCACTCTCTATAACGCCAGACTTCCTCCTCACAGCTGATTGGCCCTCTAGAGGAGGACAAACAAGACTGTTTTCTTCTGTCTCTTCCACTGAAACAGATTGAATTATATAGTTGTTGCAGAGAACATGATGTGAAGAGACTTGACTGCCTGGTGTTATCTTATCGGCTGTGTTTGATCACTGTGCTTTTTAAAAAAAAATGAATGCTCTGTATCCACTCGATGAGATCTCTATGGAGAAAAAAACAAAGCATGCGCTCAGCCTTTGAGTGATTAAAGTGAATAAATGCTTACAACACTGTGTCTACGCTTTGAAAGAAAATACAATAATTTGCTTGATCGGTGCTCCATGTTCTGGTTGTTCATGCGTAAGAAGCCGTTTATATCACCATAGTCATAAAAATCCGGGGGTAAAACGCTATGAAAGGCTGTTAGTATCATTCACATTGTCTGCTGCAGCCTGCGCTTCGCTTGCGTGCACTCCCGGTTGTGCTTGTGTTTTCTCCTCAGATGGGAAGTGATGATAGGGTGTTGACGTCACAGGATGCTCTGGCATTCAAGCCTTTTTACCTCACTTCCTGTAAGACGGCTGAGTGGTACAGTGGTGGGTTTGTGAACCACAGGTGGTGTAATGGATGAGAGGGTGGGTGTTGAAGATCTGGATAGTGGGTGGGGGGATTGGACAGACAGGCAGCCCACCAGCTGCTGTGTCTCAGCAGTCCAGTCTGGACTGGAGTGGGAAGGTGGCCAAATACAACATCGGCCTGCAGCAGCAGCAGGGCTCCTTCCACTCACATCACTGCAGCGGATCTCTTTGAGCTGAGTGCGATTGTCCCGCGGCAGATGGAGGTCCCTGATAGGCTCCCCACAGCAGCCCAACACACAACAGCCAAACACATAACATGCAATATGACGGCAGCCTCAGACAAACACCAGCTCAAGAGCTTTCATTACTTCATCTGAGAACATGATTTGTGCCTGAATCGCATCAGGTAGATTTTGATTTGCAATGATGGTGAAGACAACAACTCTCATGACCTCAAGCTGCTTCACAATGTCATCAAAATGATTTTGATTTAGAGACACCAAGCACATAGTTACATATTGTACGTTTAAGGAGGGAAACTATATGGAGTATGTGCTTGTTTATTAACAAACTAATGTAGTTATTCATGTGCAATTTTACTAGAATTTTAGGACTGTTATTAATAGGCACGGTTGACATGTCATAGCTGAGGTATGGTAAAAGTTTCCTTTTGCTCATTCGGGGAAACTACTTTCACGTCTTATAAAAAAATTAATTATACGTATGGAGCGGAAAAAACTGCCAATAGGAATAAGGAATCTTTTTTGTTTCTATTAATTCAGGGGAAAAAAAGTATCAGATGATTTTAATAAGGATTTGATGCAGTAAAATATCTTTGTCTAAACAACAGCAGTTAGAGAGAAAAGGAGAAATAGGAGGTCACAGTAATGGCAGTGTGTCAGAAGTTAATGTGTCAACCAGAGTGTGTGTGTGTGTGTGTGTGTGTGTGTGTGTGTGTGTGTGTGTGTGTGTGTGTGTGTGTGTGTGTGTG